ATATATAATATTTTGTTTGTCTGATGAGTAGAAAAAATGAGAGAGGTATCTTTTCGAGGAAACTCATATATAATATTTTGTTTGTCTGATGAGTATAAAAAAATGAGTGAGGTATCTTTTCGAGGAAACTCATTTATAATATTTTGTTTGTCTGATGGGTAGAAAAAAGTGAGTTCGTCTACTCACCGTCATGAGGTGCGTAGATGTTGAGGTAGAGGCAGTCTTCGCTCTGACGCTCTAGTTTTCGACTCGCAGATCTGGGTGCATACATTTCATATTTGAATTAATACAATTAACAAGCTCAATATTTACAAGCATGTCATGGATTACATTATTTTATTATTTGAAATAAATTAGGAAAACTGGTTTGTAATTCTGATTCATTTGTGATACAGTCATTTACCGATATAGCGAAACATAATTTTCATTAATGGAATTTCCATGACCAGCAAAAAATCTAAATCTATCTCATGGATAAAAATATTTTTTGTTTCATACCTGAGATATTGCATTCGATCAGGTGGCAGCGACCCTCCAGGGTACCCCAAATGGGGAAGTTGCTGGGGACACACAGGGGCAAGTTCTGTGCATTTCTTCACCGCATCCCATGGCAATGGGGAGCTAGTTGGGGTAAACCGACCTTCCCCTGTAGGAGGGCTGGCGTAGGGTACCCCCAAAAACGCCTCCACGGCGGGGAGTGTTGCTGATGAGTGTTGGCGGATAATTCCTTGTATGGGGCCATACTTGGTGGTCACCACTCTGCTCAACAGCTGGTCGCACGAACAGGTGGTTGAGAAAAACACCTGCACAACCACCTGCAGAACTAGTTGCCTCCTAGTGCTTTTTTGTTGATACATTGCCTGAATTTCCTTAGTCAGGCAAATGCTCCCTTTTCAATTAATTTTTTTGATTCATACATTGTCATCCTTTGTCTTTATTTCAAAAATTTCAGGAATGCATTTTCCGCCATATATTTTTTTGATTAATTTCAAAACATTTAGACTTATTTTCTCCAGTTGAAAACTTTTCTATTTCAGCACCTCAAACGACGCAAAAGCCTAAAGCCTAACGTCTCAGCAACCAAAGTTTAAGTTTAACTTCACTCTCACATTGTTGAAGTCTATAATAGTTAGTTAGTATAACCTTAAATATTTCAATATGAATTGATTATACACCTCACCTCCTACGTTTCTCTCGTATGCAAACATCATATATTCTAGCATTGTAAAATGACAGTAATATCTTGCAATCGTCGCCTTAATTACGTAACTGTGAAACCTGAAACAAATATGTAAATTGTGAACATTTGCAGTCATAGATGACAAATAGTTCACTGATAAACATAAGGCTATCTCACTGATAAGCTCTTCAGTAATTAGGTTAGTGGTTCTTTAATTATTTTTCTTGTTTTTTTTTCTGACTTGTAATGCGATGAAATGAAAGTAATAACAATTTGAATCATGTACGTATCTTCATCCACCAGTGTTGTGACAGATATAAAACACAGAAAATTATTTTATCATCGACATATTATGATGTTAGATTTAGATTATTTTTCATTAGTATTACGAAATATAAATAACGCACCGTAGAGTTCCTGGGTCGGTATATATTCAAATTTAAATTTATTACTTATGTCAACGATGTCTAGTCGTACGCCTATCAAAGACAAACCTCAGGCAAGGAAGCTGGAGAAAATTGAAGTCTTCAGGGACTGAGATGCTGAAGACCCAATTCAAGGAGTACAAATCGTGAATTTAACGGATGAAAATACTGAATCCAAAATGAGAACGTGACATATGCATGTCGTGGAGGATCATCTTTGTACTTTCAGGAAGGAAATGATGACCGAAATTGCACCTGCATTTATGTTTTTTTCTCGATTAAGCGTCATTCGAAATTGAAATCAGTTGAGGAAGAGGGACTGCTGAGAGCAGCCTGCCTCGATAGGGGAAATAGCTTCCGCGGGTCACATTTCAGAGATATTTGCTCAAATATCTGTCAGCCGACAACAATCGGCGAAGAACAGTCTGGCATGGAATGAAGCTGGAAAGCGAAGTACGATCTGACTCGGGAATTGATGAACACTAGCCTGTCAGGCTCCAATTTTGGAGTGACTCGCACTGCCAGCTTCAAGTCAAATTAAGTAAAAATTTAGAGCCAAAGTTCGAGAAGCGAATTTGTTTAAATTGATTTACGATTCATTTTAGTTTCTGTCATTTTCATTTTTTGTCATTTAATTCTGTCATTTTAGTTTCTGTCAACATTCAGCAAACATATTTTTTTGTTTTAGAAACTCAATTGAAATTCTAAATAACTTTCGAGTAGGATTCTAAATTAAGAAAAATTTTGATCAAATGCTTTAGGTAATTTTAATATATCGATTCCGTAGTTCGGTGCATGCATATAAACATGAATACCAAAGTCCAATATACGTTCTATGCAAGGTTGAAAATCATTTTACTAGTAAAAGAGTAGATTTTTCATTCAACTGTCCAAATATTTCTGTAAAATCTAATTCAGTTGAATCAAATAATGTATGATGGAAAAGTTATGTAAGATTCCATGTATCCAATTTGCATTACCTAAATAAAAATTAAGGAAAATTTCAATTACTTGATTCATACGTTGAATTAATTCTCTTGTAAATCTTGCGAAATTTTGGTAATTTTGCACAATTTTTATCAACAAGATAAGTGAAGTTTGATTGATAGCAGATTCCAAACTGGCCTATTAAAAGATGATATTGGAAGTCATATCTGCATCCTTTTAATTACAGTGGTACGTGGGCAGTCGTTGGCAATCCTTTGCAGGCACCGCAGAGGTGAAATTTATTGCAAATTATGTGTTACATCGTGAAAATCGCAAAAAACGCACAAAAATGATCACCTGAGCGGGAAAGATATTTTTTTACCAACTTCATAAGATAAGAAACGGTACGTAGGCTGATTAACGAAACAGAGCATCATGCGTCTAAAAAAATTGCATGGATTGTATTGCAAAAAAATTGCATTTCAATTGATGTGTTGCAGTTGGAAACGTTTTTTCGCAGTTTTTACTTATTGCGATACAAATTCGTAATACAAAAATCGATTATTTAACTCAATACAATCAGATGTGAACAGTTATCAAATGTATTTCATTAATATTATGGGGAAAGGCTGCGCTCTAATGCTGCTCAAATTGAAATTTAGAGTCTGAACAATTTACTTCTGAAAAGTTTAGTTTTTAGTGCTGAACTTTTAATTATGAACGGGTAGCTATATCAATATATATATATACGGGTAGCTATATCAATATAACGGGTAGCTATATCAATAATATCAATATAACGGGTAGCTATATCAATATATATTATAGCCTATATCAATCTATTCAACTCATATCAGTCATCCAGTGAAATTAATTAATAAATTGACTGGATCCTTGCAAATCCTAAACGGATTGAGGGACAATCTCAAACATTGAATAAACTTAATTAAAATTAAGATGTACACGATAAATGGAAGGAAAGGATATAGTAAAACTAGGTAGATGCGTAATTTTTAGTAGTGTATACACAATTTCAAGTTTGTTCTTTCGATGATATTTTATTTTTTTTATAATTGGCTATGAACGAAATAATTTCATGTTTCTTGCCATTAGTCGTATTCTTCAAACAAAATCACATATTTTCAGGTTCTCCTACATTTCTTTACAAATTTATCATTTTATATTAAGTCTTCTTTCCTGGAGTTATTGGAGTATAGCGAACTGACACCAATGCTCTAGAGAACAAAGAAGCTTTTTAGCGCATTTTCTCATTTAAGAGAAAAAAGGCACTATTGGGCTCGCCATGTCCGTCTGTCCATCCGTCTGTCTGTCTGTCTGTCTGTCCATCTATCTGTCCGTCCGTGACTTCACGTTATTGTCGACGAGAAAATCCGCTCTCTGTCACTCACTGCAGTGAGTACTGAGTTATATTTTTTCGTTTGCGGTGTTCTTGCGTAGGTCGTGAGGTCGTGTTCTATTAATCTAGTTTCACAGTTTAGCTATAGAGGTAATCAGGTTAGGCAATTTACGCGTTTTCCTGCAGCAACGCACAACTCAGTTACGTTGCGCCTAGTAACACTTTCATCCATTTTCCTAGAGTCATGCCTTCGATTGTTATTCATGCTTCTTAGTTTCACTCTTCCACAATATAAGGTTTTATTATTAAGCGGAAGCTTGCATTCATACGTCATAACAAATATTGTCAACTCATTTGTATTGTATTATTTACTTGTCAACTCTTCCAGAGGAAACGCTTTTTTGAAATAATTAGTGAGTGCTTCAGTCTTTCCTTTAACACACATTTAATTACTTTGATGAAATTAAATTCGTATTCGAATTGATAATATCAGTCAAATGATGTATATTGGGAATGTCGCAAAGTTGTTTGAACAGCATCTCTGCAAGCCCATATCATAACGATACATCAGCTATATTGGTGGCTAGCGTACCAATTTTTTTTCTTAGCAAGCTAAACATTCCCCATTTTCCCGACACGTTCGCAACAACCAATATCACGCTATGGAGCCGCCATTACCGAACCTAAAAAATGATGCAATTTTCCACCAGTCTTTCCATAGCGACTGTGATCAGGCCGCATCATGGATACCGAACAGCGTGAAGCCACGGTACAAAATCAAAAGATTTCTTTTTGTGCTGGAAGAGCTGCAAGGAAATAGGTCAACATGCCCATAGGCGCATCCATGCATGAGAAATAAAAGTTGTAAATCTTACATCTTGGTCGCAAAGAAACCCAAAGCATTGGCACGGAAATTTTTATTTCTTCTACGGAGAAGAGAAGACAATAAATTTACGCGTCACAATTGAACTGTCACGTGTATTTTGATACTACATCGAGGCAAGAAATCATTGTGAAATTAATCGCAGAATGGAACAATAGCTGTTCTATACTAAGCCAAACTAAATGTACAAAAAATTTTCCACACAAAGTGAATATCAAGTTAATTCCATATTTTATCAATTCAGTAATAAATTATATAATAATTGCAGTTACGTACAGGGATGAAAAGATAACAATCGGAATACCAGATTACAGCAACGAAATTCTACAAATCTTTTCAAAATATTCTGAATCTACTTGAGCTGAATATTTGCAGAAAAATATTTTTGCGACACTTTGTGGTTATAGTCTTTTTTGAAGCTAGCCAAACCACACGATGGGGGCAAATAAAAAAAAAATTCTAAAATTCCAAACTAACTGTACTGTGTACACTGCAAGGGAGAACACTTCGCTATGCTCGAAAACTAAATAATCAAGAGGGAATCCATTTAGCATTGTAACCTAATTTATTCCTGCGTGGCTGAAGCCGGCAGTCGAAAACCTGTAAAGAAACACAGCGAGGGTTCGAAAGACCATCAGTGCTTAACAGTTATCGCAATCGCATTGCAAGTTTTCGGGTGGTATAAATGACTTTGAAAGTCACGGAAGAAATAATGGTTCATGGAGACAATATATGTCCATCTTGATTGTTAGTAATTATAGGGGAAAATTAGAATTACAATGTACATTGATGCACGTAAGTTCAATTATTACATTGAAAAAAGCTCATTATTTGATGAAGGAGGTCAAGTTACCCCCCCCCCCTGCGCAAAAAATCCTGATATGGATACGATAGATCGAGATAGATAAACATACTTTCACAACAAAATGAGGCCGAAGAATGGTATAAATCGGTGTTTATCTTAACATACAGTATATACAAGAAATGATTACGGAATGGTTGTTGATGCCAGAGTAAACGTGAGGCTAGAGTAAACGAGCCTTAATTGAACTATTATCTGGAAATTATAACAAAGGAAATATAATTTAAATTATATGAAATAAAATATGAATTCTTTGAAAGAGAAACG